GTTGTGTTGTGTTGTGCTGTGTTGTGATGTGCTGCTGTGTGGTGTTGTGTATATTGCCCCATATTTCGACTATGCCCCAGCTAGTTTTTCTGTATTATCCACAACGTTGTTAATTTGTTGAACTTTTCAGCAACTCAGAAGGGTTAAACACAAGTATTGTGAATAAAGCCAAACTTGATCCAACACCTCTTCTAACATCAGTCAAAATGAACAGAGCTAGTGTTCAAACAGAGACAACATGTTGTATCCAGTAATGGTTGCATCGTTCAAGATTATATCACAGAAAAATCTTACCTTGATCTTAGCGGGATAGTGGTTATTTAATCTGCTATAAACCACCGTATAAATGAAAAACTCTGTTAACTCATGCTGAACATTGCCCCTGCCTTTTGTCACTTTCCTTTTGGCCAGACACAGTTTTCCAGGCTCATTTTTTATACCGATTGATCCGTCTATTTCAAAATGATCTACTGCATTCATCTTGTAGCGCAATAAACTTTCACTGGCATAAAAGCATAAACATTCATTTACAATGCGACGAAAGCATACGTCGAATTTCGTTCGCGTCGAATGCAAATTGAGACAATACATAATGAGATGATAAACCCATTAAGCTTATTATCTATTGTTCGAATTGCATTAGCTTAGTCATGGAAACACATGTTTCGGCGACTTCTTTTGTTTCAACAGGGACGTTTAATCACGTATTTCCCTCATTACCCATGCATACGCTTTTGTCTTCTAAATTTCCCCGGGAAATTTAGTTGAAAACAAAGGATTTCTTTGTCTTCTAATTTTCCCCTGCATGCTTGATGAGGGAAATTTAGAAGACAAAAGCGTACCTCATTACCTCTGATTGGAGAGCTGTACCTCATCGAAAATCATCGGCACAACTATGGACAGTATCTGACGACACCGTCCCGTACACATTCAAACAATCACTTTGCCAGCTTTTATTCCCTAATCTTGAACATTACAATTGTGGGAGAAAATTCCGTTTATGCGCATGCCTAAAACGAATGAACACGGAGATGTGTTTCTGCGTGTGCGTATATATGAAAAGTGTTCGTACCACAATCATAAGACAATCAAACAGCATTCAAAACAGGCAACACACCACGCACGATTCCCTCGGCAACTATGATATTACAAAGTAATAGCATGGCATTACGGTCGATTAGTGATGAAATGTCCCTCAAGCCTCGAGAGGTCTAGTAAAAGTCCCGAGGCGCTACGTGCCTCGGGACTTTTACTAAACCTCTCTCGGCTTTCGGGTACATTTAATCACTAATCGACCTGAATGCCATGCTATTACTTATAATAAATATATTTTTATTTTTCAAGATCTCACCTAGGCCAGCTCGGTTCCCATTTAAACACAAGATAAATGTTAGTATAAATTACATAGCAATGTTAGATCTCGGCAAAGCAAGCTAGCTCGGGTATCTGGGTTGGCTGCCCTCCATATATAAACACCCCCTAAGAAAATAAAGAAATGTTATTTATATCAATAGATTGATGTGAATTATGTATTATTATTTAATGCCCAGCTGTTATCCAAGATCTAAGGCTTGGAAAAGAGTCTTGGCCAGGCAGGCCAGCCCAAGAGGAAAGAAGGTTTATATAACTAAGGCATATTGGTAGGTAGTGATGCCAGATTACTTTAAATTTCTATTGTCTGCCTGGTCAAATATAAAATATCCCTGAATCTCCAGTAGTTCAGTTGGTAATTAATGGCAGCTCAAATAGGATTAGAGCTTAAGGTGATGATGGATCATGACAATATGTTGTATTTAATATTTTTTACACATTTAAACCTCAAATGGCTCGATCAATTAATGTTTCTAGGTGGCATGACTTTGAGATTTGCTTGTGTGAATATAGTTGTTTGCTCAGCTGCTTTAATTGTTCCAGCACGCCCATGCTTTGCCTCAACAGTCTCACATAAATTGAAAAACCAAGCTAGGCCGGTTGTTATATTGTAGCTGTAATAATTGGGGCTATGTCCTGTGCAGCCACCATTTGCTAATGTAAATACTTAAATAACAATAAAGTAATTAAAGAAATATAACTAATCTAGGTTGGGTTAACTCCATATAAACAGACAAAAAGTAGCCTGTCTGTCAGAGAGTGAAAGCCATCTTCCAAAAGTTTTTATTTATAAAGCTCAATGTCCCATAATATAGGAAAAATGTTATTATAATACAAGAAAATGGAACTAATTATGTGCAGATTTATTAAATAGATCAGTTAATTTTATTGAGGTCAACTGGCTACTAATAATTTGATGGGCAATGGTCTACAAATAGGTCTAACATTTATTGAACAATATATTGTGCTCCTTATTCATTGTTGACAAAAATTTCAAAGAAAAATTGCCTATTCTGGCTATTCACATTGCAAGGCCAAAATTATGTACATAATTTCAGTAATAAATAAAATAAACAACTTTACCAATGACAAGTGAGACCAGCTGTGAGAGTCTTTGTGGATATAGTGACAGTCTTTGCAATTTCACATCATGATTAGCCAAAAAAAAACAAAAGTTGATGCAATAAAGAATAGATTAATTCCTAATTATTTACAAACATGTACCAGTACCTTTTGCATTTATATTGTGAAAAAATATCTATATTTTTATTTCATCGCGTGCAACCCCCCTGCTAAGAGACTTGGACTAGTACAATAACTGTATATAACATGAAGTTTCCTGAACAAAATGGCGGAAATTTTAATAAAAAATGATGTTTGATCGTAAAATACAAAAAAACTGCAGGTCTGTGCGAGTTACAACAACTGAATTCGTACTCAGCGTATCAAAATCTATAGATTCATGTAAACTAAAAGTAGACCCCGAATGGGGGCAGCGGAACTGAACGATAAGCGGCCACAGAATACAGCCTATATCAGAAGAAGGCATTGATGTATTTTTAATCAACAAAAGGATTGCAGAGAAACAGATTGGATGGATTCCAAAATGAAAGATAAGTGCAATAGAGGACATGTGTACAAAAGGTTCTATTAATATTACTGGACAGAATGCCAGAATATTTAACAATAGGGAGAAATAAATTACTGAACAATTTGCTAGAAAAGATCTCTCCATACTAGTTTCATATCCTAATGTTTGATTTCTGATGTAGGTATAAATTTATATATTTATTGGCCTTTGTTAATTTGGTGTAAGGGTAATATTTGGCATTATTAATTAAATTATATAGAGACATCAATAGTATGCCTGTGAATTTTGGTGTTAATGACTTTGGGTTTTTTTTTCTTAAATCACCCTAACAACATATATTGTGCTTATTTAAATTTGACTTTTTTCTTAAATTGCTTTAATTAAATTGGTTTAAATCGCATACATCACTTAAAAAGTTCACTTTTGTCTTAAATCTCTTTGCATGACTTCAAAAACTACATTTTCCCCTTAAATCGCACTAAATCGCAGCGATTTAAAGTCCCAAGAGTTGGTTGTAGCCGACCAGCTAACTGCATTGGCAGTTGAGTTAATGTCACATGTGGTTTACAAATAATATCAACTGAACTAACCCTATTCTATTGTTGATATCACTTGGTTTAGTTACTTGTTCATTGACCCCGCTTTCTTTCTCTTGTTCCTTGACCCCGCTTTCTTTCTCTTGTTCCTTGACCCCAGCCTCAATCTAAAAAATGTCCTCGTCTTGGTTGTTGATATGGTTGAAATCATGGTTTTCGTTGCTGTTGTATGACGGGCGATAGGTGTTTTGGGGTCGACCACTTGTTGACGACTGTGAGGAACAAACTCTTTCTGTTCTTGATTTAAGTCTTGATTTAATTCTGTTTTCATGGCCAGCCTGCATGTGTGGTTAAGATCATGTTGACATTGGGTCGCAACACCATCAGTCAACGCTGTGACGAACGTTTTATCACAGTTGTTTTTTACAGCTTGTTCGGTGGTGTAGAACATAGCACTAATGGCACCAATAAGCAACTGTTGAATTTTCTGATATTTCACATCAGTGCTTTGTACGGTCGCCGAAATGTGATTCCATATTAATGGATTTACTCTGGGAGTTTGAAGATTATCAATGTTCTCCGGTCTTAAACAATTTGCAAGTTTACTTTGCACTTTATCATCTGTGCCAGACAAGTTTTTGCTAGTCTATTGATGATGCAAAGTGAGTCAAGTGACTCAAATTTGAGTTGGGAAAAATACTGGTGAGTTATTAGAAGATAATCAGAGATGCGAAGACCGTAACTGGAGAATAAAAGTATCCCAGTCTAATGCAGTTTTGTTTCGATCACAGCCTCATCCCCTTTCTCAAACGCAGCAGTAGAAAGAACATTCAATGCGCTAAAGCAAGTCAAGTCGGATCACTGATCCTCACTGAAATTGTCGTCGTAAGAAAGAAATTTCTTGACAAGTTTTTTCCTGTAACTGTTGTCTAATTGATGAAACTGTTGCTCTAGGTAGCATCGCTTAGTAAGGCGTCTGCTGGAGCAAGATCCAGAAGTTAATGCTCGTCGAAATCCACTTGGTATAACATCAGCCGGCTTCAACCGCATTACGAAGCTCAACCTTAAATGGCACCCCTTTTCGAATGCACATAAGCCTTGAGTTTTTCCCAAACGATTATCAGAAGCGATCGAATTTTTCCCAATGGGTTTAACCAACAATGTGAAGAACCACATTTTTGGGGAAACTTGGTGATTGGTGACGAGGCTACATTCTCAATGAATTGTGTGGTAAATTCTCAAAATGTACAGCATTATGCCCCAAAAGGAAATGCGCCAGTATTTAATTTCAACAGAAAAGATTCTCATGCGAAGCTAACTGTTTGGGGAGCAGTGTGCGGAAACAGTGTCCTGTTGGGTCTGTATTTCTTTGAGGGAAATGTCGACGGCGATGCGTACCTCCAAATGTTGTGACAATATGCTTTACCTTTCCTTGCTGTTCATTTCCAAAACCAGTATGAAAATGGAGTGTTTCACAATCTGTGGTGGGTACAGGACGTTGCACCTGCGCATCGTCGTTTGGACGTACGTAATCTTCTGAGCCAAGTGTTTGGAAATGACCATGTTGTTGGATTGGGCCATAATGTGGAATGGCCGCCGTGTTCACCGGACTTACACTGTGTGACTTTTTTATGTGGGGCTATCCGAAAAGGCTGCGCAACAACCATTGGGATGGCTGCGCATCCGGCTGCGCAACAACATTGAGATGCTACGCCAGAGAATCATTGAAGAATTCAATGCTCTATGGCAAAATCGTGACTTTATTACAAGAGCTGTGCGTCATATGCTTGGAAGAACCACTCTTTGCCTTGAGAGAAACAGTGGTCATGTTGAAGGACAAGGTGCTTAAATTTATCTTCAAATAATTTTAACTTATTTGTGTGAAATAAACACCCTGCAATTAAAATAAAGTTAATTGACCTCCTTTGTAAATAACACACGTTTTTGTCCTGTATCATTAACTCTACACAGTTTAGAACAATGAGATAATTGTAATTATGACTAATTTGAATTTCAAAGACTAGCCTTTTTTTTATACACACTGTATATTTACCATGTTTTTATCTGTAATAAATTTTTTTGCTATTTGTTTCTCTTAGGCAGTTTGATTTAGAGGATTATACAAGAATTTATATAGGATTGAACATGAATTTCTATACAAATTTAAGAATTATATATAGGAATTTCTATAGAATGCTTTAGAATCTATAGAATCCTATAGGTAGGGACCGCACATTTTCAGGAGCCTGTTATTGGACTATATTCAAATTATGTTTTTATTTATTTAAAAAACAATAAAAGCTTTTATGTAACTTATTTTATATTACAACATATATTTAGGTAATATTTAACTGCCTTAAATTGAATAATATTTCATTTCTTGTACTTCCGGTTGTTGTCATATTACTACTACGATCACATTGTATTATCAAACACACTGGAATAAAGTTATATTAGACATGGCTTCGTTAAATGAGAAACCTCAACGATTGATATATCTCATTACATATAGCAGGGCCAATACAACTGTTTTCAACACAAGACAACGTTTTGCAGATGCAGTTATAGAAGTGTGGAGAGATGCTGGTGCGAGATTATAACACTGGGTTGTGTCGATGGAGGGTCATACAGATCTATCTTGATCACAAATTCGGTATTAAAGTTAGCTTTAGTGACTTACATAATACGTACTATAGTGCATATCTGTATGTTACCAAACAAGACCCACAACCATGCCATTCACATAATCATCCCGATTTGTCGACACGGTCAAGGACTGAAAACGCAATAGCCACCAGAAAAAGGAAATCTGGACAGTCTATGTCAAAAGGAAAGAAAAAGAACCATCGAGAGAGGGGTTTGACAATTTATGAGGTGTCCCAGGTCATTGAAAAGAAGAATATTACAAACCGAGCAGAGCTTGTTTGTTTAGCCGTTGAGCAAAAACGAGAAGGCAATACACAGCTCGCAGAATTTATTGCCAACCGTGGGGCTAAAGCAGTGGATGAAGCATTATCCGTTGGTAAGGAATTTAGAGAAGGCAAAGGCAAAATGTGCAATGAAAACGAGAATCGAAATCCTTCAGGAAGCTAAAGGCTCAACATGTGTCCATCAATGTAAAGGACAGTGGCTGGAAGCTGCATTAGAACTGATGCGCCTAAACCGAATTGATGTCTCATCGTTCTGTACTGCGATTTATAATGCACTCCAAAACGTATGAGGAAAGTATCAAAATATTTTTATCTATGGCCCTGTGAACAGTGGTAAAACGTTCTTCTGTTGCCCTTGAAATGCATTTACCATGCTTTCTTTCAGTAATCCGGCAACTGGGACATTTGCATGGCTTAGTGTTGATGAGGCAGAGGTCATTCTATTAAATGACTTCAGATGGAATCCAGCCATTATCGCATGGGCAGATCTTTTACAAGCTCTCCAAGGATATGTTGTCCATTTGCCAGCTCAAAAAAAATTTTGTCAATGAGATATAGAGCTGTTTTCAGATACTCCATTCTTTGCTATGTCTGATGCCCCTATGGCTTTAGTTAAAGCAGGATCGTTAGACCGGGTAAATACTGAAATGATGGACGTGCGATGGCGGTTTTTTGGAGACAAATTGACTAAAATAATCAAGTCAAGAAGTCTCCTTGTGGCAAGTGTTTTTCAACATTTGTGTTAAATAATGTTGACCATATAATATTATGGATTTTATAGAACTTTCTACACAAAAGCAGACGATTCCACTGTTACGTTTCAAACAATTAATGTGACGTATGACCGGTTTATAACTATCAAAACTGTCTGTGAAATATAGCATAAAATTTGTTTATGAGATTATCAATATTTCTCACCACAAATGCCATAAGTTTGTAAATAATACACATTTTATGGTGGGATTTGAGTGAGCACTGTTAAAAATCATATTAAAATCCTTCGAAGAAGACCAAGTCGGTATAAAGACCAAGTTGCACAACAATGAATTCTTTGACACAAGTTGTAATGAATGATTTATTATGTGAGCACTGTTGACAAGAAATATTATTGCACAATTGTTTACATGTATTAATACCTTACTATTAATAATATGTTGATATTAAAGTTAAGTAAATGGGTGCCTAAATATTATTCAGTATTTTGTTTTATACCCCTTTGACAAAATCATTTTATTTATTTGCTTGCCCATACTATCAATTGTTTTATCAATAATGTCAATGGGAATGTTCTCAATACCTGAAGAACTCTAGTTTGAAACTGTTCATAAGATTCACTGGTCATATTCTCTGTTACTGCCTGTTTATTCAACTGAGATTTAACAAGATGGAATATATTCTCAATCGGATTTATATCAGGCGAACGTACAAGAATTTTAAGCATTTCTGCCTCGACTTGAGCAAGTGATGCCATAGCGATTTTCCTTGTCTGTCATGGGCAATTATCCATTACAAATAACCGTCTACCGCCGTGTGTAGGGTCCGGCCTTACCAAAACACAAATTGAAATTTTTCCTGATAATATAATATTTGCTTGCTAATAGGAATTTTATGCCTTTCCGGCTGAGACATTGGGGTAGATAGGTTGGTTATTATAATTGATAAGCTGGTGGTGGTAAGATAAGAATTGTCATACGAAGGCAAGAATGTCCCTAGGATGTGGAATGATCAAGCAGATGGCTGAAAAAGGGGTCATTTATCGTACATACTTTCATGCGGTTCACATCAGTCGCATTCAGTCTACAGCCAAGTGAATACCACTTTGTGAAGATATCAAAATTTATTAATCAAAGAGTTTTTTCTTTAGTATCATTTTAATTTAAACAGGTAAGAATTTTTGCTTTATTCTGTTCTCTTCTACTGGTCTCAACGTTCATGCGGCTCAACGATGATGTATATTAATCGCAGTTGTCATTTATCATTGATTCTCATTACATTCAAAACTGTTTTTCGCAATTTTTTCCTGTTGCAGAATGTCACCAAAAGGGAAAAAGCAACACAAAAGACCTGCTACCGTGTCAGCTGATGCCCCGTCATTGCAGCGTAGTCGCCGTAGTTCGCCATCAACGCTACAATGGCGACGCGCAGTGCCAATCAACCACCTTCAGTTAATACAGCACCGACGGCTTCTGTTCCCCCTTTTAGCGATGCTGTTTCTATGGAGACTGTTTTGCCGCCTGAACTTCTACAGACGCTTGTGTCCACAGTGACTGCCGAAGTAGCAAAGCAGCTTTCGACGCAGTTTTCAACAATGCTTCCCACTCCAGTGCCAGTGGCATCAAACTGATCATCAACCAGTTCCCACTTACATGCAAGAGCCAAGGTCACACCATAATGTTCCACCGCCACAAAGTCAACAATCCGAGGCTAAGACTCTGGTAACTGTGGGGCAATAGCTGCGGCTCATGCCAGCATTTCAGGTGAGCCTCAGTTATTGCCTACATTAAATAGTAATAGCGAGAGCAATTCTCTGGAACCTACCGAACTCTGTCACTCGGCCAGTTTACCTATCGATTCCAGGGTATCGGTAAAACTTAAGGGAAAAATTTGGAATGGGGAGTCCATCGATTTTGGCAGCTTGTTGAGCAATTCTATTATCAATAAATTTCAGATTTCATTCATGAGTTCCGAAGCGGGTCTCCCAGCTTCGTTTTGTCTCGAACCAGATTCAAAGCCAAAGAAAATTCTAAGTATTGATGTCTGGCTTCAGGACTTTCACATTTTTGTAGGTATATATACCCAAAAATTCCCGCATGAGGCCCCCGCCCTCATGAAATACAGGCAGACAATACGCGATTTGGTGTTACACGGTCAGAATTGGCGGTTCTACGACGAAAATTTTCGATTTCTCTGTCAAACTCAATGTAGCCTTGTGCCATGGGGCTCGATCCACAGCGAACTTTGGTTGCGTTCACAGTATTCCACAATTTCCACCAGCAAGCGAGCCCCTGGACCCCAAATAGGCCACGATAATGGTAGTTTAAAGCCCCGAATCCGACCACCTAATGCTGTACCATGGGGTTATTGTTTTAAATTTCATCGTGGTCTAGCTTGTTCAGGCTGCGAGTTTAAACACACATGTTTTAAATGTCAAGGTAATCATCGCAGCACTCAGTGTGGCAATAATGTTCGTGGCCTCAGTGGTAAATCAATCGCCAATTCCGATCGCCCCACCAAATAATTTCCTACCAGCACCAGTAAAACTTTGGCCTCTCATTAATCTTTTGTCCGGCTTGAATAAACTATTTTTAATTAATTAATTTATGGGTTTTCGTTTGGTTTTTCCTTACATTTTGATGGTGAAACTCGGTTTCTAGAGTCTAAAAACTTATCATCGGCCCTAGAACACCCAAGCATTGTTGACCTGAAACTGACTAAGGAATTAGTGGCCTTTTGGGTGGCTGGTCCTTTCGCAGCTCCGCCATTTCATTCCTTCTGTGTTTCTCCTCTTGGACTAGTTCCTAAGAAAACACCAGGCATCGGTAAATGATGGCATTTCCACTGAAAATACTAGTGTTCATTATGCAACCGTGTCCGATGCTATACATCTAATCAAACATGTGGGGCATGGTTGTTATTTGGCAAAAACCGACATTAAAAACGCTTTTCGCATCATGCCAAACCACCCTAAAGACTATCAACTTTTGGGAAGGAAATGGCGGGGATTATACTGCACGCCCACCTGAAAAAACCTGTGGTCCAGCAACAACACTCGTTTTTGCTGCTATATTGAGTTAGATTTGGTCAAAGGTGAAGCTTGTTTGCCTATGGAAAAAATCGCCAAACAATTTCATATTTTCTTCAACGGAAGAAGGTCACATTAAAAGACCTCCAGTCCATAATTGGCTTGTTGAATTTCGCTTGTTCTGCAATTGAGCCAGGCCGCACAATTTAAGGCACCTTATTGACCACACACAAGGAACTCAAAATCCACGTCATTTAATGCGATCGCGTTATGAAGTAAAAGCAGACTTGCAAATTTGGCAAACTTTTCTGCCCTCTTTTAATAGCGTTTCAATTTTTCGCGATGAAGCCTGGCTCAATTCCACCAAGTTGACTTTATTCACTGATGCCGTCAGGTTCTATTGGTTTTGGGGCTATATTTGGCACTGAATGGTGTTATGGTCGATGGCCATCACACTGGTTAAATCATAACATAGCAATTTTTGAATTTTATCCAATTGTCCTCAGCCTGTGCTTATGGGGGCATAAGATGCGCAATCAATCTATTTATTTTTTACCGACAATTACGTGTTAGTTCATGTCATTAACAAAAAGTCCTGTCGGGATAAGTCATTAATGTGTTTTGTTCGCAGGATGGTGTTAATTTGCTTACAAAACAATATCCTGTTTAAAGCTAAACATATCCCTGGTGTTCATAACAAACTGGCCAATTGTTTATCTCGATTTCAGGTGTCAGCCTTCAAACACTTGGCACCGAGCAACATGAACAATCTTCCAATAGACATCCCCCTCGACCTGCAGCCTCAACGCTGGCAGATATAATAACGCGTTTAAATAAATCTAGTTTACAGCAATCGTCCATATCCCTACTTACACTAGGGCATGGAGATTATTTACTCAATTCCACAGCACAGTTTTTCGGATGGCGTGCTTTAGCTTACCCATTTCCCCGGCAACACTGGCACTTTTATTGCATATTTATTTGACCGCAATTATGTATCATCTACGGTCAATACATACGTCTCTGCGATTGGTTACTCTCATAAATTGTCTGGTTTCCCAGACCCAACCCGAGTATTCTACATTATACATATGTCCCTGGTTACTCCTACTTTTAAAGCTGGTTAATAAACAAATATTTGAAAATTACATACCTATCTAAACTTATGTAGACTTATCCTTATGTAGACTTATACCATATCTAAACTTATGTAGAAAGACTAATTAGTTTTATTGAGAAAAAATACTTCTCTTACAATCGAGGTGTATGCCAATGTTGTGTTTTAAGCCCCCTTCTCTTTAATCTATATACAAACAAACTTCCTAATCTATTTGAAAAAGTAAACCCAAACCAATTTCTTTTACCAAATGGAACGAGACTAAGTAGTCCACTATATGCGAATGATCTTGTCGTACTATCAAGATCAAAATCTGGTCTCCAAATTTGTCTAGACTCTTGTTAAAAACGAGTGAGTTTTTCAAAGACTATCAAAATAGCACAAGTCCGAAGGACAAGTGCTATTTGTAGTCTTTGAAAAACTCACGAGTGCATGTTTTTTCCAAATTGCATGAGAAACCATGTTATTACTTATTAATAATATACAAGAAAATGTGCGAGACAATTATAAGACGAACATCCAGTGATCAAGAAAACTTCATCTTCCAATCCTGTTTTTTTAATTGGTTTACACAAAGTCACACCACATGCATCTTAAAATATTTACGACAGTTAATACGAGCAATGGAAGTAACTAGTATCGTACAGTCAAAACATTAAACAACTTGGATTTATAACACTCAAAAATGAAAATATCCAGTTCGATCAAATAGTTCATCAGTTAGTCGGAATCACTGTCGATCATGAAAGTGCGACGCCGCTTTTGTCCTTGAGCTTGTACATCTTCAGACAGCTTCGACATGACAGTAAAGCTAACTTGGCAGTTATGGGAAGTGTTTGAGAGATCTCGTTGCTCAACTTCATCTCCTTCGTCGTAGTCGTCAAGGGACTGTAAGTTTCGAAGACAAAATGGAAGGTCTCGTGAAGTCGGTCGAATTTATCAGTGCAAAATATGATGAACTGCTGATAAAACATCAGTACATTGAAGAAATGAGTACTGAGCTAGTAAAAGAAAATCAATTACTCAAAAAGCAAGTTTTTGACTTGCAAAATCAATCGGAGCAAATGTGTGTAAATTTCAATGAACTAGAACAATATGACCGCTGGGATTGCCTCGAGATACAAGGTATTCCCGTTCAAGAAGATGAAGATACCGATGCCCTAGTATGCTCTGCTGGTAACTTAGTAAATGTAAACATCAAAGCTGAAGATATTTCGATAAGCCACCATCTCAAAAGCAATCCAACAGCCAGAAATCAATCCCCAGCAATTATCACAAAGTTTGTTCGACATAGTATGAGAGATAAGCTGTATCACGCCAGGAAATATCTCAAGGAAAAATCTACTAAAGATGTTGGTCTTGGAAGGATATCCGAAGAGAAGATCTACATTGCAGAGAGCCTAACTAGAAAGAATAAGATCCTATTTAACAAATGCTTGGAAATAAAGAAGTCGTTGAACTATAAATATATATGGACCAACCAAGGAAACATCTACCTACGAAGGGACTCCAGTTCACCTCACCTAAGAAGTTAATATCTACAACAAATGATCTTGATTTGCTAGCTAGATGAATGAGATAAGAACTGACAGATAAGTAATCAGTAGTAATATTAGACTATATCTTTAATAATGGCTTCTAACATGGACTCTTTACCACAACTAGATTCTGATAAATACTTTAAATTCTAGCAGTATTCTTTCTAATTTAGATCCGGATTTAAACCTACCTCAGCATACAAATTTTGGTTATTATTCCACCTCAGATTTTAAAAGCAGTTACGAAATATCAAATTGTATTTCTGACAATTATTTTTCAATTTTACATTCCAAAATTAGAAGCTTAAATGCCAATTTTGACAGTTTGTTACAAATGCTAACAGATTTGAGTCATTCTTTTTCTCTGATTGGTTTAACTGAAACAAAATATAAGGTCTCTGAAGAATCATTATGCTGCCATATTATTCCTGGTTATTCATTTATTTCTCAACCTAGTTTATCGAATGCAGGCGGGGCAGGTTTCTTTGTCTCAGATAAACTAAACTACTCTGTAAGAGATGATTTGTCACAGTCTACAAATGATTATGAATGTTTGTGGATTGAGATTCAGAGTGGATTTAAAGATGATTTAATGTGTGGGGTAATCTATAGACACCCACATAGTGATCTTGAAGCATTCATGGCATTCTTAAATGAAACAATTGATAAAATTAGTAGAGAAAAGAAATACTGCATTATAATGGTGATTTCAATTTGAATATCTTAAATATAGATTCACATCCAGGTACTGATGAGTTTTTAAACACAATTGGGATCTTACTTATTTAACCCTCATATCTTGAAGCCTACTAGAATAACTCATCACTCAGCTACTTTAATTGATAATATATTTTTAATTCAGTTTTTCATCATACTATTAGTGGCAACATAGTTTATGACTTAACCGACCATCTTCCAAATTTTCTTATCATCAATAAATTTACAACCTTACCAAAAGGCTTTAAATTATTTAAAAGAGATTATTCCAATTTTAATGAATAATATTTTCTTCAAGATATGCAATCTACAAATTGGAACTTAGAATCATCCAATAATAATGTAAATGAAATGTTTGACACATTCAATTCTGAATTAATGAAGATTATTGATAAACATATTCCATTAAAACAGCTGAGTAGAAAGGATATTAAACACCGGTCTAAACCATGGATAACACATGGCAATTAAAAATAAAAAATAATTTGTACAAAAAATACGTTAAATCTAGGTCAGTATACTATCATAAAAAATTTAAAGTATATCGAAATAAGTTAAATTGTCTGATTAAGATTAGTAAAACAGATTATTATAACAAATATTTTACTTCAAATAAGACAAACTTGAGAAATATATGGCAAGGAATTAGACAGATCATTAATCTTAAGCCAATGAGTGGTGGTGGCTTTCCTTCAAAGATACTTGAGGCTGAAGCTGCTTTAACTGATAGCAAATCTATAGCTAGTGCATTTAATATATTTTTTGCTAACATAGGAAATGATTTAGCTGCAACCATACCTTCAGTAAATATATCTCCAATGGATTTTATGCCACAAAAATTATCACATAGTTTATTCCTTTACCCAATCACTTCTCAGGAAATTGTGGACGAAATCAATAACTTAAATTCAACAAGGGTACCAATAGATATTTTAAAATTAATGAAAGATATAATTTCAGAACCTTTGGAGATATTATTTAATAATTCACACTATCAAATGGTATAGTCCCTGACGGTTTTAAAATTGCGAGGATAATTCCTATACCTAAAAAGGGATCAACCACGAGTCTTAACAATTATCGTCCTATTTCTTTGCTCTCAGTATTTAATAAATTACTTGAAAAGCTAATGTTTAAAAGAATTAGTAATTTTATCAATAAACACAATATATTGCATATAGCAAGCAATTTGGATTTCAATCAAAACATTCTACCTTACATGCACTTTTATCAATTACAGACAGAATACAAAGGGCAGTTGAGGATGGTTACTACTCTTGTGGTATATTCCTAGATTTGTCCAAAGCTTTTGATACAGTCAATCACAACATCCTTCTACAGAAATTGGAATATTATGGAATAAGGGGTATATCACATAATTGGTTTAAGTCTTACTTAGATAACAGAAAACAATTTGTTTCAGTAGGAAGTAATTCATCTGGACTATTAAATGTATCTTGTGGTTTACCTCAAGGTTCAGTTCTTGGACCTCTTTTTGCTATACATCAATGATATTCGAAACTCTCTAGTGTTCTTGATATTCAACTTTTTGCTGATGATTCAAATCTTTTTTATGCTGATAAAAATTTAGTAACATTAGAAACTATTGTCAACAATCAAATTTCGCATGTCCATCGATGGCTATGTGCAACCAAGTTATCTCTTAATGTAGAAAAGTCTAATTATATTATATTTCATCCAGTTCAAAAGAAAGTTAATTATCAAGTGAAAATTTCTCTGAATGGTCAACCACTTAAGCATGAATTTGACACCTCTTATTTAGGAGTCGTGAACTTGAAGGCACATATTTCAATGCTTTCAAAAAAGATAAAACGTAACGTTGGAGCTATATCAAAGATAAGACATTTTGTTAGCAGTGATATTCTTAGGAACCTCTACTACTCATTGATTTATCCATATATAATATATGGTTTGGGGGAACACTTATTGTTCTTCTCTTAATCCTTTGTTTCTTTTACAAAAGAAAGTTTTTAGATTAATGACTTTTTCTAGTTATTATGAACATACAAACCCGCTCTTTATTAAACTTGAGATTCTAAAGATACATGATCTTGTCATTTATCATAATGCATTATTTATGTATGATTTTCATAGTGATCATTTGCCGGATACATTTAATACATTCTTTCTCCCTGTTAATCATACACATAATTATAATACCAGACTTGCTTCAAGATCATCATATTCTCTTCCTCGTATAAGAACTAATTATGGAAAATTTAATATTAGATATTCTGGTGCAAAACTATGGAATGATATTGATGATGAGACAAAGAAACTAAAACCATCTCAATTTAAAAAGAAATAAAAAAAAAATTATTATCAAAATATGAGTGAAATTTATATTCTTAAAATATATTTATTGATAATTTGCATGATAATTTGATTTCAATTTTATATTTAAGATATTTAACCGTCTGAGCTATTCTCACTATTTGATTTTAATAATAATTACAAGCTGACTGTCTCGTCTAACCTTTAATATGGTTATTACAGTTAGCTTGCACCATTGTTTCGTAAAATTACCTTTTGTAAATAATTATTTGGTTTAGTTAATGGTGCTTAATAAGTTTTGATTGATTGATTGTTTCGATGGCCAGTAACCTTAACAATGGAGGACCATTCAACATTGCATTTCTTAACTTGTTGACAAGGGTCTTCTGAGCGCTGTGGTTTGTCAATTTCTTGCTGCTACTTTCCAGAGAAGTGCCAGCAACGATTCGCTTCATCATTTCATTGATGTGATTCGTACCCATCGGTTGTGCTTTATACCAAACTTCGTCCTTGGGTTTGCAGTTGATGGAAAGGTAAAAGGAGCATCGATTTGGTTTGTAAATGATTTGGTTGGCATGTCAAGTACTCTTTAAACAGCGAGACAGGGCATCTTTCTCCTCCAGTGGCAAACATTTTTGGTGAAAAATCCTGGGATTTCTTCAGTAATCCTCTGCCTCTCATTTTGGTCAGGCCTTATTATTGTTATTCAAAGGCTTACTATTATTTAAAGCTACAAAGTTCACAAACAGTTATCAGCTACTTCCATTTTGCACTGACAGACTGATAGTTATCTGATTTGTGTCTTAAATGGGAATTTGTAAATATTATAAAATGTTATATAATGAAAGGAAAAGTTATTTTAACTCTTTGACGACATATCCCAGTCGCATCGTTGCCGAACAAAAAAACGTCAAGACAATGCGACGTTTGTATCGTATGACCCTGAAAAGGCCAGAAATGAATTTGGAAGGTCAAAATGCCAAAAACATTCTAACTGACACGCCTGCCCCTTGAAAGCATATAGCTGAAGATTCTTTTTTCATCTGTGAGAGCTCTTTGGGCACAGGGCTTCATAACATTTGGTTCGAGGGAAAATGCATCATCACCAGCAAGGAAGTATGGAACTGGAATTCTCTCGTCATCAAGTGGCTTAGGTTCTGTGAAGTGCATTGTTGACCAACGTTTTTCCAGAAAATGGTGTTTTTTATCATGCCTCCATCACTAATTCTGCCCTGGCAACCAACATATTGTAGTTGTAATCTGCATCAACAACTGCCATTAGAACAATGCTGAAGAAACCTTTGTAATTATAGAATTCAGAACCACTTTTAGGCGGGTGTATAATTCTAATATGTTTCCCATCTGCAGCACTAACGCAATGTGGAAGTTGCCATTTTTCCTTGAATCCTGTTGCTATCTTCAGCCAGTCCTCTTCACTTTCAGGGAATTTCAAATATTCACTCTTCAATGTATTATAGATAACGTCACATACTTCTGGTACTATGCAACATATGGAAGGCACAGAGACACAGAACTGATAATGCAAAAGTGGCAATATGACTCTCCACTAGCCAAGAATCTCGATGTTAATGCTAGCTTCTGCCCTGCAGGCATTGCCTCTCTCATATTTGTATATTTCTTCTGCAATTGACACTCCACGTTCTTCAACAATGACTATCAAAAGATATAATAAACAGTTGAATACAGACAGATTATCACCATATTAAAAATCATAATATAATACCAAAATATAATATATTGGTAGCTAGAGAAAGGTGGTCATACAACAAGCCTGAAGTTATAGCAATGAAATACTATATAAATAATGAATTCATTTGTGTTTTTGCTGTATATATCAATATTTAACAATTATTGAATGAGGTTGAGCACGATATGAAGAATTATCAAGCCCGAAGTGATAAAGGCAAACTGAGGGCTTGATAATTCTTCATATTGTGCGAAAACCGAATTCAATAATTGTTTTATCTATTTATTTTAAAAATTCAAAACAAATGGAAGCCATTTGTATTTTATTTGTATTAAGAAAAAAACAATTCCTTATTCCTTTGGCAGTCGTCGTCATATCAATGGCGTCAGTGAGTCAATATGATTCTTGTCGTCATAGTAATATGGCGCAAACACGTCCAAATATTTGGTTAGCCATTGAGTTGATATGACAATTTAGTAACCAGATAGTCAATCAGAAACCAGGAATTTTTTTAAAATAAATATAGTTATATATACAAGCATATATATTATCTAATATATATGACCACAATGTAAAATACTGGTTTACCAGTAATTTGTGTATTAAAACCCTTCAATAAAGTTTCAAAGTTTAATATAATTATGTGTTATCATGTACTTATATGGCTATTCAAAACTTCAATTATGAGTTTAATGGAAGTACTGTTAAGACCTTTTACGGTCATTTCAGAGTTAGAAACAGGATAATTAATATTATATTTTGTATAATTTGATTTCATTTAAATATGTACTTTTAATATATACCAAAGATGGTATTTATGTTGTTATTACATCATTTACATGTAATTAAAACAGTATTATCATGCAGTATACATGCTTGTAAATATTTAGGAACAAACTGTAAAGATGTAACAACTATATATATGTATGTATGTTTGTAAGTTTGTATAACATAACAGTGTTCGAATTAATTCTGAAAAAATGGTTCGTGAATTAATATTTTATTTTAAGGAATTTTCAAGGAATTTTCAAGGAATTTTCTCCAATTGGAAGTTAAAAAGTGGAAGCACTGCAATTTTCAAATATATAATATACATCGCAAACTCTCAAAGAAATAGAATTTTGGGTGGAATTATAATCGTTTTTAAGTACAATCTAACAACAATATCTTCAGAGTATATGATCCTTCATCACATTTACAAAGAACTGATATTTTATCAATTTGAGAGACTTTTGATTCGTGATTTTGATCAATTTCTATGAAATTGGGTTCGTGAAAAATGGAAATTGATTTGTGATTCACGAACCGTTATTTCGAACCCTGCATAATATTTTGCAAAATACCTCAAATGTCGATGTGTCCATTCGCAAGTATCGATGATATTTCTTGGGGTCTTCAAGCCGCAATTCTTCTAATAATTGCCAATAAATTCTGTGGTCTGAACGTTTTAACCAAGACCTTGTCCAAATGGCTTGTTTTCTTTTCTTTTTTCCCTTCGCCTTAAAATCGCTAAGCTAATCTAGCAAGCTAATAGCTTCCTGGCATCCATCGTTAGCTTTTGATTGCGACAGATGGCGTCAATTGTAACATTTCCTGCTCAGGCCAGTATGTTTGTTCGTGTGAAATGCACGGGGCCACAACAATTGTACACAGATCTTATCATGTAAATACATCGCAGAAATGATGTAAGCAAGTTGTATACGACTATCGTATACAAGAATCGCACCATGTAAATGGACCTTTATAGGCAGCAGGTGTATGATGTGATGAAGCTACTTGGTTTGCGCCAACAAAGGGCCAAAATTGCTTGGCCTTGGAAGACCGAGGGCCTATTACTCAAAGGTATATATAAATTTTACATTACGGCATTTTACATTCAACAAGAGTGTCCAAACAACACATCAACTCGGCCATTCCGAGTCTTTCTTCTGGCACTTTGAAGCAGGAATGGATAATTTCCTTTATGGTGCGGGTGGTCATTAAGCTTTGCTGTTGGTCAATATTTGTTGCGGAAAATGTTTCCCATCACACAGGACGAAAATTGAGATTTAAGTGGCTTTAAGGATAACTGAAAGTTCCTTAAAGTTTGAGGATAAGCTTTAAGGCGCTTTTAAGTATGCCTTAAAAGTAGGTGACCTTAAAATATCGTTTAAACAAGCTTTAAGGTTCTTTAAGGCCCTTTAATTTTCAATTTCTAGCACATGGGTGGACTATGCTTTTACGGTGCTTTAATTTCGCACGAAAGTCTCACTAAATTTAAATGTTTACCTTTCATGTATTAAGGTGAACCCTAATCCATAACAAAAGCAATTGTGAGATTTAATGTAAGTTTCAGGACAACAGGAAAGCTCCTTAAATCTTTGGTCATGTTCGTTCACTGTAAGAAAACTCCGATATCTGCCGGCGAATGTTTATTATTAAAATTAAAAGGTCGAGGCATACAAGGCTACAAGCTGATCAAACACAAGGGGATTTTGTTATTTTTGAGACAAAGTTATTATATTGATTATTGCGGGTTTGTTATTCCCCTATTCGGAAACCGAAACTACGTACTGACTACTGTGTAGATCGAGGTTTGTTAGATTCGGTTAATATTGACAATTATGTCAATGGACGAGTCAAGGAATCTGGTTTTATGCCATCACTATGATCAACTGGTGTCAAGATCTACAATAAACAGGCATGAAAACAAGAGAAACCGCGAAGAGGTCCTTCGAAAGTCATGCCAGAAGTCCGAATCGAGTGATACGACAGACAGTGACTCAGAGACATGTCAGCATATATAGACACAACCACAGGTGAGACTTGTTATTTATTAAATACCACTGTCAGTACGCATGAAATTCAACATGACATTCGATCTGCTGTAAACTCACTTCAACACCAGTGTCTATCTCGGTGATCAACAGATCTTAAAATTGGTGATCAACAGACAACAGTCTTTAAATTGTTGTTGATAAACTAAGCTCCTTTTTATACACTTGCAATTTTGCTGTGATTACAAATGAGGGTCATTTTCAATTTTTCATCTTCTGATGGATGTAAATTACGAACAATAACTTCTGAATGTTCACATTTAGATTCTTGTAGTCATAATATCCATAACTATTTCACTTATTTCACTCGTTCAAATCCATCAGGAGCAGAAAATCTCTTCTGAAGTTGCATTGCAACAAAAATTGCAAGTGTAAACAGGCATTATATGTACATGTATTTGGCGCACAAAGACGCTAAAAGTAATGAAGTTGTCATTGCAGGCACTGACTGTCTTTGTGCACCCCAAAAATACCTGCATTGCTGTCCAGCACATAAAAATAGAAGATTCCATACACCACTGGCTTCACTCTATGCAGGGGGGGGGGGGGAGCAGATCTAAACTGGGAAGGAAGATATATCATAGGATTGATATATTCACCACTGCTACTAACTACAGCTATTTCAGTTAAAGTTGTCCCCGAGCAAAGCGGAAATTTTTTTAGCGATTTCCAGCAAGCCTTTCGCGCTTGTTTTCAACTTTTCCGCTTTGCTCGGGGACAACCTTCATTGAAATAGCTGTATACATACATAGAGTACAGTCATACATACATAAAAAATATACACCAGTATAAAGTTTAGTTCAAATACACAAGTGCTGTTATTGTTTGTCATAGTTAACAATTATATAATAGTTAACAATGCAGCTATGTCCACAATATTATTATACCGAATATATTTGAGCTTGCAGAGATCACCTGCTAACATTAATATGCAAAATGCAAAACGCAACTTGCAGTCTTGCAATTGATGGATTCCAATTACTTAATATACCTTCACTTTTCCAGGAATCTGATGGGGCCTGTTCTGTTGACGATAATCCTTTGAACGATTCAAATGATTTTGGTATGAATCCAAGCTCTTCAGAGGATCATGTGGACGACGATTCAGCAACTGACAAGGACAGTGGCGAAGAAGTTTGGAATGATCTTGTTCTCAAAGATTTAATAAATGATATAGAAAACACCTCTGCCTGCCAAAGAAGACAATAAACACATAGTACAATCGCTTCTATTTTGGCTGTTATATTTTTTCCTCAAATATGGCAAACATCATGTCACATTGGTGATAATGGAAGTCATCGCTTCTCGAAATCTTGTCGAGTTGGTTTAAACTGCTAGGCCTAATAGTTCCATTATCGCGATACCTTAGCCCAGATTGTGACAGCATTTCCTGGAACATTATACAGCATATCGGCGTCCAAAAGCTAGGTATGGTCGGGAAACCCACATATTTTTTTTGGCCTACAATCGAAATACCTGTATCTTAAAATTTTATAACAAAATATCTCTATGTTTATGCTGCAGCTACATAAACAATAGTTTGTATGTTTGTTGTCATGGCAGCGGAAACTCAGAGATTGACTGTTGTTGGCGAGGTGAGCCTGACGAGATGTACAGTAAACATGGCTTGATTATATGATATACAGTATTTACTGTATGATACACAGTATGTGGTAACATTTCAAGCAACTGGCACTTGATCAACTTCGTAACTGCTTGACAAAGGGCCCTCAGCAGTCGTTCGAAATGTCGAAGAAAGCTGTTTATTATTGACAGCTCGTAAAATACATGTACAGGATAATTAAATCATTCTTCTTCAATTTTATCTTCAGCCACTTAATTAATGTACATGTTGACAGAATAACATTATTCAAAACACTTTCTCTCACCACAACATTTACTGTACAAATTTATACAAGTACGTGGTCATAAAGTATCTAAATAAATTTATAAATATTTTTGTAGGCATTTCACCTGAAAAATTATGCATTATATACCTGGATGGTCAAATAGATTCAGAACATCTGCTTCCCATTTACCAGATCAAGTTTGACATGGTCTTGAAATGTCTTCACAGCCACAGTTATTTCTCTATACAACATCTTTTTGCAAACACCAAAAACACCTTTCCCAAGTATTGCACTCTAACTTATGACTGATGTCCTTTAGATTTTTACGTTCAATGCTTTTGGCAAATCTGATGTTACTCTGAGAGTCTGAGTATATATCCACACCGGGCAAGCTTGAAAAATATGCCTGGCCAGAGGGTGTAGATGGGGTATATCATCAGTCGTGATTCACTCAATTTTGGTTACAGTCAGTCGTGAAAACACTAAAAGTTTCGCGTGAATCATGAGGAAAAAAATACTGTTTATCGTTTCAGAACACTTTTCAAAGATTTACCATTAAAATACCAAAATGTTTCTTATTGTTACCGTTAAAATTCGAAAATTTTTACCGTTTACTGATTTTCAGACCCAAAGACTGAGGTCTTCTATACGGTCAGTGAAAGACTTATAGGTCGGCAATCAGTTTGGCATTTGCTGATTGCCAACCTTAATTCAGAGGCCTAAATATATATTTTTGCATGGTCCATGAATACCTCTTAATAGTAGTACTGGTATTGCTAACAATAAAACAGAATGCACAATGACATTCTTGTACATGTAAAAGCAGTAAAATACAAAAACACAATAAAGCAGGTTTTAGGTTGCATATTGGATAGTGACCAGTGACATTTGTCCAGTGTCTGGATATGCCCCATAACTACTGTACAGAGTATGAGGTGATATATACTTATATACACTGTACAGTGGCGCTTCTTCAGCTTGCTGCCTTATGAAGTAAAGTAACTGCCCGCTAACCCATCCTTGGGCTCATTCATGTTCCTTTGTAAGCATTTTATACAGTACAGCCATAGGGGGGGGGGGGGTGTTATACATCAACATTTGGTGTTTGAAATTTATAATGAACTGATAATGCAAATGTATAATATTGTATGCTGTAAATGAAAAGAAATATCATGGTCATGGGCTGGATTACAGTACATTCAGATATTATAATACGGTACAGTATAAATTATATAATACATGTACCTTATTGAATTCTGATCGTTTAATTGGCTGTTACACTCTTCACTCTTGCGAGTGCAATTGTACTATACGTTTTATTCCATTGTGTTTTCGATAAATCGCATCCGTCAAAATGCTTCTCGTACGGTGATCGCTGCAGTTTATTTTAACTGATATTCGAAACTCAGTAAATGGGATTTAATGCAAATACGACTCGTCAAAATGGCGGGAGCTTACCGTAAACCTTTTAATATTAGTCTATTTTTGGTATTATATAAAACAAATAATGAATGTTTTTATTCGTGCAATGGTAAGAATATTTTCATTCGGTGAACGATGGAATGTTCCATTCAACTCGGCTGTCGTCTCGCTGAATGGAACATTCCATCTTTCACCTCATGAAAACATTCTTACCATTGCACTCATAAACATTCATTATTTGTATACTGTATGCTCTATTTATTATCTGTATTAATTAATGACAGCATTGAGATGTTTGAAATTAGGGTTATATTTAAGTTCAGTGACAATATGATATACTTTTGAGTGTACTGGTGCAAATGCACTTGTACTACTTTTAAATCAGTACTGTATTGTCAGGAACACTGTAGAGATCAAGTAGACTGAATAAACTGCAGACCATTGGACGGCTTGCTATCTATACACCATGAGTGCAGGGTTTGAGATTGGCAGTATCCTGACAATACCACTTTTCAATTTGGGATACCAGATGGCAGATATAAAAACTTTGGATACCAGCAAATTCTTGGCACGCTGGCCACTAGCAACATTTAATGTCCTATGTATGTAACTTTTGAAGTTCTCATTTCAATGGATATGACATTTGGATACCAGTTTTTGAGTTTGGATGCCAATTTTGAAGTGCTGGTATCCATATTAATGCTACTAGGGGGAAATTCTAATCTCGAACCCTGTATGACTGTATTTTATAATAATAATACAAAAGTTTTTAATATAAATACCATAAATATGAAACACTATTAATTACCTGTAGCTTTTTAGTTGTTTTTTTCTTTTTTCTTTTCATATCGCACCTGGTACTTAATGCAGCGTTCTATAAACGTTCTTTCAATTCCCTATGTCGCTTCTCTGTTTTGACCAATATTTCAGATTCAACTTCCTTTTTAGCCATGGAAGAATATTTTGTCTTTCTTTCAGATTTAGACATGATTTTAATGGCTTCGCGTTCCTTCTTATTACGTCTCAGCCGTTTCCTTCTTAATGACTCTAAACTTCGAGAGGCTCGACGCTTGATTCTACGTGAATATCTTCAAGAATATGTTGTTGTCGAGATGAACAGCCATTGAACCACACTATCTGCTTTGCCTTCGGATTACCGCTTTTGGAATAGCCTACCGTCAGCAAGCGGTGTTTCACTCGCACGGTATGCAGATAAGCACCGTTGAGGCGCATCAGCTTGACTAAATCTACTGACAGCAAACCCTTCAGCATTGCAAACAGACATTGATTTCTGAGTATTAACAACAGCCATGTTTTTGAAGTTCTGGCGGGTAAGAGCGCCAAATTATGGTACGGTGTTGCTCGCAATGGCGGACAAATAACCCCGTGCTTCAATAGTCAATTGTCTGTCAGTCTGTTCAGACCATTCCTAGTGTTCTTTTCATAAATCATTTGTTTATTAATGTAGTTACTATCATAAAAATCGTCACAATCCCTATAAATGTTATAATTTAAGTCATTCAAAAAAGTAAAGACAAGATATAGATATACCGGGGTAAAAGTACCTATTCCCAAGGTGCAAATATTCCGCCATGAGACTTACTTCGGTTCAAGCTTCAAGTCAAATTCCTCAAACTTCATTGTTGCTCTATAGTCGACTCATTCGTATTTATGCTGTACTTTTAATTTAAACATTGATGATACGAAGCAAGCAGAGGATTTCTTTCTCTCAGCAAGGTATGTTCTCTCAAAATATATTGAATATTTATCATTTTTATGTTTGTTGTGAAGATAACTTTCTTTTTCCCCATTGTGGAAACACCGAGATTTACGCTGTTCGGTTAGTGCGAATTTGCGCGCCAAAATCCGTTGTGATTCATTACTGTATTTGAATTTCGATGTTCAGATCGAGTCATCGAGAGAGGAGAGAAGCTACAGAAGTCTTCACATATTAATATCAAAGATTTTTATATTCATACATTTGATATAACTTTCTCCTGTTTGACATTTCATCGATTGGTCATGTCTGTTTATTAACTCATTTGAATATGGCGCACAATAACGAAGTTCTTGTTGTACTTGAAGAAGTTGCCCTTGTAAATAAGGAGATCTACAAAGGAGAGATCAGGAGCAGAGAAAGATTTTGGCTGATCTTAATCAGAAATTACAAGAAGCCACGAGCGGGAACAACTGTCCTGTTAGCAGAAGGACCAGTGCAAAGACATCACAGGGTCAAAGTCCCTGCTGCCTGTTGGGTAAGAGCTAGTGTACTTTTATATCAAGTATTAAACTGTTTATTTGTCAGTTCTAAACTGATAACTGATTTATAATTAGAAGTAATGCTCTGTTGTGTTTGACAACTCTCGACTGACAATAAATGATTTTATACAGTATACTATTCAATATGTACATTATATTATACAGAAATTATACCTACACTACTGTGTTCTACTGTATCAGTCAATGCCAGCAGTGCCCACCTCCCCCCCCGGCCTTTGCAGCTTTTCCAATAATCCCGGGGTTGGGGCTATTGCCAAAAAATTTTTAGCATGCCCCCCCCCCCCTCCCATTTTGACGTTTTCCATCATGGGGGATTTGGCAGATTTCACAAGATATTTAATTTGTTTGCAAATGGTTTGATACTCATTCTTTGTAAAAACTCAGAATATTAATACAGTATCTTAGGGAAATGATATCTTGTGGTTTGAAATTAGTTGACAACAGACATTTTGTTGCGTAAACCTGGTTTTCATATGTTGGCAATGCTGTAAAGTACCATTGTCTTTGATCAGTTATGAGTAAAATCCTTTGTCTACATGAAATAATTTTCTCCTTCAATAGACAATGATCACTATAAACAATGATCTATGAGTGCATCGCCGACCATCAGCGACATACGAAACCTGCCTTAAGTAAAGACAATACTTTCAAAGGTTGACATTTAATATTATCATAGGTCTTGCTAGATGTGCTGAAGTTAGTGTTGAGAATTTATACTGTTGCATTAATATAAAAGCATTCTTATTCTTGTTGTAGATTTGTATTGTCCATAGAATTATAACATGCAAATCAATGTGTACTAGTGTAAACAGTCAAATGAGTCAATATTATTGCCCGGGGATGGGGATATAGACCCAATTTTTTTTGTCCGGGGGTGGGGCGTTAGCACAGTTCTTCTTTCTCTGGGGCAGTGGGGTGGGGACATACACCCACCCCAGGGGGATGGGCACTGTTGGAATTGACTGATAAATAATTGTATGTATACATTCAAAGGTATAAATTCCTAATTTGCTGCCTGGGGTTTAGTTTTAAAGAACACATAAAACCATGGCTGTGTCTCCAGTAGCTTGCATGCTTATCAAGTAAAACACACAAGCTTGCATGAATATCAAGTAAAATCTAAGTATTGAACCTACAGGGCATCATGTGTGGCTGGCAGCCACCAAATGTTGATATGGTATCATAGATACCAAAAGATTGTTTTGGAGAAAAACTGTAGAACCTTGCAAAAACCCTCCAAACACAAGAGAGATCAACTACATTCCTACTGTATCTCCACATGTCAATGCTCCCACATGGTATAGGTGTAATTTGTAAACTTGACATTGGGTTTCCTGATTGCTCCTCATATACAGTAAGAGGTGGTCTGTATTAATTATTTTATATTACTACACACTCGGCATTTAAGTAGCATGTAGATTGTGTAAACTTCCAATCTCTTCTCGTGATGAGGTGGAAAAGCTGGACCGTGTAACAATTAAGGTTTATTCTGAGGTGGTGGGTATTTTGCCGACTGTTTTTGTTTGGCTGATTGCCGACCATTATAATCTGCACTGCATTTCAACAAGCCTATTGAACAAGCCTACCAACCCACGTTATAATCCACACTGCATTTCAAGCAACGCCAATTCAACAAGCCTATCTGCCTATGTCTCTAATTGTTAACCCATCAGCGGGCAATGCGCACAAATGCGTCCTACTTTAGTATTTACTCTGTCTAATGCCAGACAATTTTGCTCGACATTGGTAGAGTACTGGTGGTTAATGAGTTAACAAACCTCTCTTCCCATGTCTCTTGTTAATATTGCTTATTAATTTACCAAAGTTTTGATTGTTAACTCGTTAACTGGCAATACACCCAAATGCGCTCTACAGTACGTTAGTATTTACTCTGTCTCTTGTAATCAGGTATTACACAGTACACAAAGTATTTTGTAATATGTATTTCCAGAGAATCATCAGGAAGGTGTACAACACTTTAATACAGAAACTGATGATTTTGGATAAGGATTCAACTTAACGGAGAGGTACGTACGTACATTATAAATTTTGTATTACCGGTATTTCTTTTGGCCTATCACAGTGGTTCATTAACACAGTTTGAGTTAAATTATTCTTATATCCACATGTATATAGTGTTAAAGTTCGGTTGTGAATGCTTTATGAAAAAGTATAATTGTACTGTAGTATTCTAATTAGTCTTTCCCAATCGAGCAGGGTACAGGGTCTAGTTGCAAACCAAGGACAAGGCTCCAAACAATCCACACATGCTTTGAGGTTTGCGACCGTAAACGCATTACCATCATATAAGATATCTATGATTACCATGCTCGATTGGGGAAAAAGCTATAAAGAGATTGAGAACGATATATAAATGTTACATAAAGTATTTATGTTGCTCTTAGTTCTGTACTGTATCATTCCTGGATCCCTGTCTAGGAAACCGCGATTCGTAGGCATAGCGACATGTACAGGTTTTATCATTTATATCTGCAGTGTGAAGGCCTGTTTACACATGCGATTGTCTTCTGATGGATGTACAGTAACTAGTGAATAACTTATGGATGTTCAACTGCAGATTATTACAGCATAGCGGTCCATCCATAACAAATTCACTCATTCACATCCATCAAAGAAGAAAATCGCATCTAAAATCGCAGCAACAATCGTAAATGTGATTGGGTCTGAAAGCTGTGGGTTGTGATTTACTGAAATGGCTATATGTACTATTGTTACTGTATATACAGTACTAAGGTGGGTATTATTTGTCGAGGATGATATTTATAAATACAAGTTTTACAAACTGGCCAGACCTAAAATACTATTTCAGTTACTAAAGCCAGCATAAAAGGACACATCTACGGTATAATCATTTCTCTATAATTTAATCAATGCCAGACGCCACGAAGATTGAAAACTGATTACATTTGTATCTGAATGTTATAAGGGTAGTACGGTACATGTATTGATTTCGTTAATTTTGATATTTTTATTTGTAGTTTCAATTCTGAGAGTAACAAAGCAATCTTGGAAGCGGTATTAACATGCAGAGGTTTCTGCACAATTCCATGGGGTGGACAAACAGTAAAACACCATGGTCAAGACTTGCTATTGAAGGTACAGTGTAGCTTCTAATCATTATAATCATAGACAATCAAACTATCATGTCAATGGATGAACGGGGCTAAGCGCTAATGACTCGTATCAAAAACAATATTTTACTCACTCGCTCCGCTCGTTCGTAAAATATTGTTTTCACCACTCGAAGATAAAAGTCATGTCTTCGTGGCACCATGTAATATCCTCTATATATGTTATAAATCTCGTATTTTTTCCTGGTTTCACAGCTGCATTGAAGAGGTATTTTGTCTCGAAGTATGAGGCGATGAAGCAAAAAGTCGACGGCAATTACGAACAACACAAGCGGAATTGCAGAAGGCAAGGATGAAAAAGAGAATCTCATTAAACTGGTGAAATTTGTAATAACAAATGGCGATCTTTTTTGTATATACTTTTTTCCGGACTTTTTTGTAGAAGCTGACAAGACGAACTCTGGCGATGGAGAAGGCTGACATCAGTACTAGAATAAGAGGGAAAGTTGCGGAAGTATTGGTCGAGGAAGCGATGTCTAGTGAAGAGAGCTGCGTGGGGGAAGCCGAAAGTGGAAAAACAAAGATTGTTGGATATAAAATAAAGCGACTGTCATGGGTGAGCGGGAAGTTGAGGAAAGTTAAAGCGTTTTTAGACAAGACCATGAGAGAAGGCCAAACTCAAAGGGCGCGGGATAGAGCTCTCCCACGAACAGACCACGAAGTGGAATCGTCAACGTTGCCCCCTAAGGATTTCCCAGATTGGGCAATTCAGTCCTCGGAATGAATTTTTTGCTAGTGGTCTGACTGATAGAAGGAAAAAACTCACCATATCGAGGGGCAATTCCATTTTTCCTTCATCTTGTGCTCTGAAGGCTAGTAAGTAAATTTATGTAGCCTACAGTATGTTGGCGGCATTAAAATATCTTGTAGGCTCTTGCCAACATGTTTTTTCTTCGAATAATGACTTACACTTGCCACTTTGTCGCCTTGTTACGGGACAGCGAACGTTTAGTTTCAGAGGGGCAAAATTGTGGAACTCGCTACCGCCGGAGATTAAATCCGAACAGTCATTGAAGTCTTTTAAACATAAACTTCACAAACACTTTCTGACTTCTTAAATTACATCTATATAACTAGTTTTTAATTGATTGTAAATATATTTTTAGAATATCTGTACTATATTTAAATAATTTATTGTATTGTATTGTATCACTGAAAAACCCTTTCGAGGGAGGGATATGTAATAAAGTTTATGAGTTTATGAGTTTATACCATTACAGTTAAAAAATGTGAAATTTCAGATACATTTCTAATACAAATGACTTGCATCAATAGCAGGCTTACAAAGAACTACATAAAAGACATTTTAATGGTTAGCTCGGATTTTCAAGTGGTTTTCGAGTAATTGCTGTTCCAAATGTGGAAAATAAGCCAAAATGTCGCACTGAAAACACGCTTTCAACAGCTTATAACTGAAGAGGAACTTGAAAACCCTGGTAACCGTTTAACACGCTTACTGTACACGCATGTACTTTTTGCAAGCTTTCAAATTATGTACTGTAAGTCATGCATGTTTTTTAGAAATGTATTTGAAATTTCGTGTCGGCAGGAGCCCACAAGAAATTTTAACGCAGCCGACAAACAGAAACTCACTAACTAGCCTTCAGTTCAGGGCACAATATGAACACAAAATGGAATTGTCCTTCGATATGGTACGTTTTCCATAATTTTGTTCCTCTATCTCCCTGACTATAGTTATAGTTTTAACGCAGAATAATAATGGATTATATATATATAAATGAAAATATAGCTACACTAATGACTAATTTCCATTTTATTTTATTTTATAAATTATAATAGTTGAATATTGTATTATACAGCATATATAATAATGTATATGTACGTATAGTTATCGCTTGTGCACGGAATGGTATATATTAAAATGGTTAAAACCTTTTTACACACGTCTATGGCTATATAAAATTATATATTAATTGCTTTGTAGCTAACGTTTCAGGCCTAATGTACACAGGCATGGAATAGAGAAAAAAAATTGGGTGACTGGGAGGGCTTCTTATAGTTCCTCGTATATTTAACTTTGTCTGTGTTCATCAATATTTAAATAAGAATTGTTCCGAATATTAGACCTGTATACATTACAACGGCTAATATTAATTTTCATATTCCACAGTATATTTAGTAATTTAAAAAAATGTCAATATAGAGTTATTTGCAGGATAACGGATTATTTCTCATCTGGTGTTTTAGGAGTAGATCATTTTTATATTTCCCTTTAAGTTCAATGACTTGTTATGTGCGTGCAACCTGAAGTGCCAATCTTTCGGTTAAAAAAGATAAGACCCTAAAGCCTCCTTAAATACAGAGAGTTGTTTTAATGTACCTTTAAGATTGCTTATAAGGAAGCCAATACATGCATTTTGAAACATTTAAGTAAGACCTTAAAGCCGTGTTAAAGACAAAGACTTATTTTAATGTACCTTTAATATCGCTTTAAGGAAATCTAAAGATGCATTTTCAAACATTTAAGTAAGACCTTAAAGCCTTATTAAAGACAGAGTTGTTTTAATGCACCTTTAAGATCACTTTAAGGAAGCCTAAACAAGCATTTTCAAACCTTTAAAGTTGAACATTAAAGGTCCAGTAAATTCTCTTCTAATGAACTTTAAGAAACATTTCAGAGAGACCTGAAATGCGTCAATACTTTGCTTTAAGTGCAGAATTAAATTCTCATTAAAAGTTCATTCTATAACTTTAATGATGCCATAAAAGACACCTGAAATGTTCCAATTGTATAACTTTAAGGTTGATTTCAGTTCACTTAAATCTCAATTTTCATCCTGTGTCAACTGTGCAGGTCTTTTATGTCAGGCCAAACAAGTTGGGAGGTATATACCTCAAGTATTATGCAACCAAGTGCATACACATCCATATATGATTTCACTCTTTTAACGTTGATCGAATCATTATGCTGATACATCAACGTCCCAGCGTTTGCTTTGTTCTGCGTATTTGTTAATGCTGTGGCATAATATATTGTATTTGCATATTGTTAATATGTTCTCTTGTCAACCTACATCATTGCAAGAAAATACAATTATGCATGTGTGTACATATTTTAAGTAAAATTTAATTGGTATAGCATTTACCTTACGAATATATATATTACACACATTATTAAAATGATATAATATATATATATTGTAGGCCTACATGTTGAGAATATTTTGATATAATATACTTACAATAATGCTTGTTTTAAATCTTGATGAATGATCTGTTCTGCATGAAGGTATGTCTGAAATGAGTCAAAATTATATTCTTTTATATTTCGCTTTTTATACATGTCCTTGCCATGTATTTCGTTTATGCGCATTGCTTATGACCTACTTATGTTCATAATTACATCAAGTACCTTATTTCATTACAGTGGAACCCCGCCTTACGGCCACCCCGTTAATACGGTCACCTCGATAATACGGTCACCTCGATAATATGGTCACTTTTTTTGTCCCGGCGAAACACTAATACATTTTATAATAAAGTCACCCGGTTAATACAGCCAACGGTCATATTGTAGAGTCCCGAACTAAAAAATACATACTAATACAATACCTCCCCCTTTCCCCCACCATTCAATGTTGATTGCATTCGTAGAATACGGATAAAACGTAGAATACGGATAAAACGTCCAACATTGTTTTGGGGGGGTGGAGGGGGGCAATCAAGTAAATTATTCCAGTCTAACTGGTAAGCAGTCTAACTAAAAGCCACAAAGGAATGTTTTAATAGAGTGTCACAGATGTTTTGTCCAGGATTGTAGCTGCAGCCACTAGCAACTTACTTGACGGAGAATGTACGGTTTCATATCCTCAGATACCTTAAAGTGGAAGGTCATAGACAAAAAGTTAAACAAACTTCTCAGCTGGGATTCGATATAGGGAAAAGTAGTGCAGTAATTTCTATTCGGAACAACAAACTAATGTGAATAAAAATATTTACTTGAAACTATGGCGGTTTGCCGAAGATCAGTTTTCTTAAGTTAGACACTTTTGCAAAAGGGGATATCAGCCATAGTTCTTCGCCATTCACACAGTAACCCATTAGGAGTAGCAAGTTTGCATGACGTATTTTCCTAAAACATTTAATTATTTAAAAACCACATTAGTTAATTTACATGTCATAAGTTAATTATATTGGAGAATGTAGGAGTATTGAACATGATATCTCACAAGTGAGTGCAGCGAACAAGTGAGATAAAATATATATGTGTATCATACATTACAAGTACCACGGTCAGTTTTTACACAGATATTACGGGGACTCAACATTTTGTGAGGACCTGGGTCAAGTCCTCGCAAAGTTTTTCACCAATTCCATCTTCTAAAAAAGTCACATTGGAAATAAATAACACTATTTTGATTCATTAACAATACTGATTAATTTTGTTCATAGACACTCTATTCGGATGGTCTGGAGACTTCTATTAACTTCAAACAGCGCCGCCTTTCATGTTGTGCCATTGAATTTGTGACGTCACACAGGCCTTCACCGTGCACATTGTATTTCAAGATGGCGACTTGCGAAGCTGTTGATGAAACTATTTCGTGTGAAGACTTGGATCTTATGTTACACTTATTTCAATCTGATTTCTTGGAGGAAGAAATAGAAATACAAAAATCCTTTGAAAATGCCATTGAAGAGGTAAAGTAACATTTTTTCTTGTTTCAATCGGGTTTATTGTGATTATAAATATATCATATACAATTGGACAATTGGTGTCCGTCCTAGACTCATACTTGTCCTAGTGCTCTCTCCTGGCTAAGGCGCCAAGCCGACAACATTTCAGCACTTTTTCTATAGTTTACAGCTTAGCTGTTATTTTATAATACTGCTATAAAGTATAACCTGTCGTCAGTACGAGTATCGTATTCTAAATTTCTCGTAGAGATGATTCTTCATAGAGATGATTCTTCAAACTATCTGTCAGATGAGGTTAACTGTGGTAATTTCATAGAAATCCTAAAGTACGGTGCAATCTGTGCTGGCAAGACTCTTGAAGAACTTTTCAAAAGCACTTCGAAAAACATGACCTACAAATCTAAAACCACTCAGAATGAAATCATTGATATCTGTGGCGATTTAATAACCAAGAAAATCACTGATGAGATCCGCGAAGCGAAGTTTTACTCCATTCTCGCCAACGAAGCGTCAGATTGTGGCAACATAGAACAGCTTAGTATCGTTCTCAGGTTTGTAGACAAGCAGTGTCAAATAAGAGAAGAGTTTCTTGGTTTTGTCCCATGCAAAAAGGGTGTGTCGGGTGAAGCTCTTGCTACTACTACAATTAAAGAATTTGTTCGTGACCTAAATTTGCCAATTGATGATTGTCGTGGCCAGGGTTATGATGGAGCTGGGAACATGGCAGGGCGATTATCTGGAGTAGCAGCCAGAATACAAGAAACCAACGAGAAGGCTCTGTATGTACATTGTAACTCTCACCGTTTGAACCTTTGTGTTGCAGCTTGCTGCAAAGAACAGCTAACAAGGAATATGATGGAACATGTTCGTGTTGCCTCAGAATTCTTTAATTTTTCTCCAAAACGTTTTGATTTGTTGGTCAAGACCATCGAAGAAATGCTTC